TTCCCACTCTTAAAATATAATCTAATAGAAGTTCTAAAATTGCAAAAAAAGCCCCTATAGATTGTCTAATTTCCTCCAAAAAGCCCCAACACCCACAAAGTAAAAAAAAATAAAAAAAACCAGAAAAATTCTAAAATCACACACACACACACACACACACAGAATACACACACACACGCAGTCGGCTGCAGCCAGCAGCCGGAATCTCGCCGCCTTCAGTCCCATCTCCCAGCCACCTTGTCTGGCCGCCGCCGCCGTACCTCACAACTTGGAAACAAGAACCAGTCGCCGGAAAGGAGCTCTGACAGGGAATGTCGGGCCCCGCCCGCCGTCGACCACCTTGCACGGCCGACTTGTCCGGGCAGAGCCGCCGGAAAGGAGCTTTTTAGTGATTTTTTTTTTCGGTTGATTCCCGGCCGACGGTCTGCTGCATTGTGCGGCGGGAGGCTGGTAGTAGATGGCCATGGATGACGATGGCAGGAGGCTGGTTGCAGTGGCGAAGCCTTTTCCAGCAGTGTTCGTCGAAGGAGAAACACGACTGGCCGGCGTGAAGCTTGGACGGAGGCTGACCGGCGGTTGTCTGCGGTGGAATGGACCATCGTGTTTATGGCGGACGACGGCTGACTCTGGTGGTGACCGGAGGAGCTGCGTCGGACGTCGGAGATGGCGGCGGGTGGTGGCGAGCTTCATTTTCCGATGGGGGAACTGAGGAGACGAGATTCAATAATGAAGATGAGTGTGTGGGTGTATGTGAGAGAGAAATTGAAGATTGGTGGAGTGGAGGTGGGGCCCGCATGTAATGTGAATGCAAATAGGTAATTACCACTTTATCCTTAGTTAATGGTTAAATGTGTACATTTGACCATGAAGTGTCTATTTATTTACGAAATTGCCATTATTTATTAACACCAATATTCAAATTTTGACTTAATCTTGATCATTGATACATTAAATCCAAAGGTGTATAATTATTCTTATTTCTTTCATTATCTACCATTCTCATGTGATCCTAACTCTATATATATATATATATATATATATATATATATAGGGGTTGGTTCAAATAAAAACTATGTCTGGTGTGAGAACCGTGAGAACCATATTTGATGCTACTTTTAATTGTGTATGATGCTATTTTTAATATTACATGGTGCTATCATTTTCATAAATGCTAATAAAAATTTGTTGCTATTTTTAATCAAATACATCCTAGTTAAAAATAGCACTAAAACACAATTAATCATAGCACTACATACAATTAAAAATAGCGCTTCTCAAACATGTTGAATATAAAAATAATCTTATTTTTGTACACAATGGTTTTCATATTTCTTTCACCTGATAATTTGTATGAAAAAATAATTTGTAGTTATTATTAGTGAAATTAATAACTTTTTACATATTTTCTCTTATTCTTTTAATGATTTGTTTAATTTTTTTTCTTTCTTGAATACAAAAAATGTTATTTTATTATTGTCCAATTTAATTATGTTACTGATAGTCAATAAAAGAGTCAAGTGCAGTCAACTCATTCTCATTTTGGGACGAGTTTAAATATAAAAATAAAACTAATACTTTTCAATAAAGAAATTTATATAATTTATACATGTCTATTATGTATACCATTAAACTTAGTTATTTATGAAAGTTTAGAGTTTTGAGTGTTTAGTTTTTTCTTTGAATGAAAATGATTATTTCTTTTCTTTCTTTTTTTTTGTGATGCTTAAGAAATTTCTCAAATATACAAAATTTAGCTATATTTTTATTTTCAATTTCACTTATTTTATTATGGCGAGTTACAATTACATTATATATTTTTTTATTTATTAACTTAAAAAAAATAAAAATAATTAAATGCAACTTTTAGCACATTTCGCCCAAAGCCTTATAATGTTGAGGACCGACTCTGAATATTAGTTACAAAATCTGATCATCTATCAAGATGCTGTTATTACTAGCTAAAAAATAAAAATAAAAATCAATATTGTTTATATATATTTCTTAAAACAATAAAAGAGGTAACCACAATATTTAATATTGGAATTAAAATAATGAAAGTTTATTAACTTAAAAAATATATACAAATACATATCAAGGGATTATTAAACATTATACACCACAAATTTACATAAATAATAAAATAAAAGTTATACTAAATTTATTTATTTATCTAATATTCCCGTGGTAGCACGTGCATAGCACGGTTATACTAAATAACATTTTGAAATGTAATTGTGCCAAAAGCAGTTAGAGGCAATATCAGCAGGAACACACCCTCAACCACCAAAAGCAATATCAGCCAGATTTTGAAGGAATAGCCACTCACACCTCCACCAGTTACCTTGGATTGCCATTGGGCATAGGTAAATCTAAGAAGGAGGCATTTGACTTTGTACTCCAAGCAGCTAGAGGCAGACTGGTCAACTGGAAAAAGAAATACCTCACAACAGCTGGCAAGGAAGTACTCATCAAAGTAGTCATCAACTCCTTACCTGTCTACACAATGTCTTGCTTCAAGATACCAGTTGGAGTTTGCAAAGAACTGTCCCAAATCACGCTCAATTCTGGTGGTGCAAAAATATTGATATGGACAAAGGTATACACTGGAAGAGATGGGAACTGATGACCATTCCAAAGCATCATGGCGGTCTGGGCTTTCAGGATTACAAGCTTTTTAATGAAGCTCTGATCCTAAAGCAACACTGGAGAATTACTTCCAAGCCACAACTTCTGGTCAGCCAAATTCTCAAAAGCAGGTATTATCCTAACTCTCTTATTTTTGAAGCTCAAAGAAAACCTTCAAGCTCCTGGTTGTGAAACAAATGGATGGAAGTATTGCCAATCTCTAAGAAAGGTATATGGAAAGAGATCAGAGGAGGGCTGCAAACCAATATCAATGAAGCTGGATGGGTCCCAAAACTTGCCTTAAAAATTCCTCACATTGTCAGAAATCCAGATAACTTGGAGATGGTTAGTGATCTAATCTACAGTAATGGCAAACATTGGAAGGAAAAAACCATCATGGAGATGTTCTCAGACTCTGATGGCAGAGCCATAATGGAGATACAATCACTAGCACCTGATCTTGAAGACAGATGGAGATGGAAGCTTGACAGTAAAGGCTCCTTTTCAGTAGCAGCTTCATATGCCCATCTCATTGAGGATAAACTCAGAGCTCTTGATATTGCAGAGGGTAGCAACAGCAGAACCATTGACAATAAGGTCAGACAGAGAACTTGGAAGCTAAGGGTGAAAGGAAAAATTAAGCATTTCATCTGGAAATGCTTTCCTGGCATTCTTCCTATCTGTATTAATCTAAGGAAAAAAGGTCTCATGGTTGATTAAATCTGTAGACACTGTGGTGAAGCTGATGAAACCATTGAACACATTCTCATCACCTGCAACAGAGCCAAAGAAGTGTGGAAGCTCTCACTTCTGACTTGGGATGGCATTGATACAGAGAATTGCAGCTTCAAAAACTGGTGGTGGCAAGTTTGCTTAATTTCCAAAACAGAAGTCTCAGAAGCTAGAATCCAGCTAACCACCTATATCCTATGGTGGTTATGGCGATCGAGGAATCTCTGGATATTCAGCAAGGAGAAAATGTCAATGCACTCTGTGGCCAAAAGAGCTCAACTAGAGTGGCAAGAGTTCTGTGACCTAAAGTCCTTCTGACTATCTCTGTTTCT